GGCGCGGCGCCCGCCCAGCCCGGTGCCTGGCGCCGCGCCCTCGGTCGGAGCTCACCCCGTGGGCCAAGCTGTCATGAGACGCCTGCTCGGGGCGCCTCAGCAGAGCCCCCGGTAGCTCTGGGAAGAAGCGTTTTCAGTTTCAGGTGATGTGATTTCAGAAGAGCTCAGGCTTTACTAATCGAGGAGAGTTACAAGAGTCTTTGTGAGCCATCTTTCTTGGGAGTCGAGCAAATAAGTTCTCTTTTGTGGTTTAAATTATGAGATATGAATTCCATTCATTTTCTTTAAGTATTTTAAAAGCTATAGTTTCATCTTAAGATATGTTAGATGTTTATGGTAGGATCATACATCTTTAAGCGGTGTTGGCATTCTCTGTTAAGCACTCTACAGACATCTCAAGGTAACTAATAGATCATCTGAAGTGAAGCAGACTTTCTGAACTCTGGTGTTGTGAAACCTCTGCAGAGCTCTTCTGTAGACCTTGTGGTCACTTACAGTTTTGGCAGTCTCACATCTACATGGGATTTTTATTTTTTTTTTGAAATGGCAGAATCTTTATTTCAAGCTTAAATGGCTTTTTAAGACATGGAAGAAAAGTTGATGTGCACAGAGTCTTAGTGCATTGATACATGTGTCTTATCCCCTGAAAAAGTACTAGTGTCACTAACATATGCTGCAGCTATACTGTACTGCTTTATATTACCATACTAAGCCATCTTAAGTTTTTAAAAACTAAGATTCATGTTGAACTTTTTTATAGCCATGCAAGAAACGTCGAGAGGAAGATACTTCTGTAAAAACAATCACAAGATATTTTTCACCGTTAGCAAAACCAGTGGATAAGGTGTTGTCGCCACCAAAACCCAACAATATATTGGATTATTTTAAAAAGACACCTGTAACTGAGAAAGCTACGTTACCAGTTGTAGCTGGAGAAAATAAAACACCGTTGGATGCTGATGACAAAGACTGTAAGTCACCTTTCAACCCACCTTTAAAGCGGAAGAGGAAAGGAAAGAGACTTAATTTAAATAATAAGCCACGAGAGGTGAAAGAGTCTGAGAATGGACTTGAAATAGAAATTAGTAGTGATGACAGCAGAGAAACAACAGGACTGAAACAAGACAGTAGTGATTTTATTGCTACTTGTACTTCAGTTGACCAAAACTGTGCAAGAGAATTAGCAGAAGATAATGTGCAAAGAGAGCACTTCTCAAATGCTGTCATCTGTAGAAAAAATGTGAAGAAACTTGGTTCTGAAACAAATGGAACAAAAAATAGGGTAAGAAAATCAAGGAAAAGGAAGCATAAAGTAAATATGGATTTGTCTGAAAGTTTTTCGTCTGAAAACCAGCTGAATGAAAAGTGTAAAAAGGAAAGTGAGGATAAGAAAAAGATGGTATCTCCTACAGTAGCAGAGTGTGATGCTACTGTTAGTGACTCCAGTTCTGATGTTCGTACGGATGATAAGGCATTGCAGGTAAATAATAGTATAATAACGGTGTCATTTGAGGACTTCTTGAAGAGTCAGGGAGAAAATAATGTAGATCACGTTGAAGAAGACACAAAGCCAACAATGGACAATTCTGCTACAGCAAATGAAATGGACAAAAGTGATAGCATCAATGACCTAGAAAAGTGTGAGGAATCTCAACGGCCACCACTTAGAACAGTAACTGTCCTTGCACAAGTTCATTCCATTCCCCCAAAATTAGCTCCTTTACATAAGGAGCAAAAAGGCTCTAAGAAAATAGCTTCCATTTTCTTGAAGCAGAAAGGATGTGTAGAAGAAGAAAGTAGCCCACCCCTCTTGGACAGCGAACAAACTGAGCAGATTACTCAGAAAAGAAAATCTAATGTAGTTATTGAGGAAGAAGAATTGGAGTTGGCTGTACTAGAGACTGCAGGGTCAGATTCTTTGAAGCCAAAATGTACTCTGGAAGAAAGGCATCAATTTATGAAGGCGTTTAGACAACCAACATCAGCTGTAATAAAAAGTGGAGTTAAAAAGGCATCTGGAAAACAAAAGCAAGCCATTGGAAAGTCTTCAAAAGAAAAAGAGGGACCTGAAGATGACATTGCTTCAAATAGAGGATTAGAAAGTGGAGCACCAGAAGACAAAGTGGACAAATGTGCACATTCTAGTCCTGAAAACAATAGAACTAAAACCAAAAGACCTAAAAAACTTCAGAAAAAAGGCAACAGAAGAAGGAAGGCTTCAGAAACTAAGGAAACAAATGTCTCAAATGCTAGCAATTATAACGAAGATGAGGATTCAGGAGCTAATGTTCCTACTAAGGAAAACACCTCAGATATAAGAATTTCATCAAGTCCAGAAGTGAATGAGTTAAGGAGGAGTTTAAGGCAGAAGAAAATCAAAACATCAAAAAATGTTACACCTAAAAAAAGCAGGATTAGAAATACCTTTTCTAAAGATGAATTAAGTGGCTGTCCTTTTCAGACTTCTACACCAAGAGCAAGCAAGCAAACCCTGAAGAAAAGTAACGTGTATAAAGCCGAGGTGATTACAGTGCCCTTTGATAGAAACAGCCCGATAAGGTAAACATTTTAGAGTATATTCTACCTTTTTGCACTTTATTTTCCTGCAAGTATTTTAAGAGTAAGACATAATTATAAATTGACTGGAATGCATACCAAAGCTGCATGAATACTCATCATGTTGGATAATAGTACAGAGGAACCAAAGCTGACTCTATAAATGTGCATGCGCTGAAGACATTTAAAAAAAAAACAAACACACAAAAGAAAAACCAAACCAATAAACCACCACTAACTGGGGGCTTGCTTATGTTTGCAGCACTGTATTTTTAAAGACTTTTGAAAATCAGATTGAGAGTAACATTTCCCTTTATTAAAAATTAATAATTCGGTAATACTTTTTTCCCTAATTAGAATGAGGTTTACACGTATCAATTCGACTACAAAATCAAGTAAAGCTGAAGTAATGAAAATTGAAGAGTTTAACTCCAAAAATATAAAGGTAACAGTTTTTGTTTCAGTATTATCTTATTTACTATATGCGTATAATTGTGTTAATATTCAGTATTATGTGATAGTCTAATCTAATACACTATGACAGTTCTCAGATGCCCTACGGAAAGAGAATATTACTGTGACTTGCGATAGAATTTGAGATAGTTTCTTGTACTGTTATTATACCTCAGATTTTAAAATATGTTTTATTAGCGTAAATCACTTTTTATAATAGAAAAAGCCAATAAAATAGTATGCTCCTGTTCTGCAGGTTCTTGGGATGGGACATAGTGTTTGTGTACAGCAGAACAGCTTTTGCTTAAGAACATCACTGCCTATATTTCATTTGTTCTGTGGACAAATTGGAGGATCCCCTTGTAGGGCTCTCGTTCCCTTTTGAAAAGTATTTTTATCATCTTGGTTTGTTCCACCTTTCCATTCTTTCATTTTCTTTTTGATACCAAGAAAATATTACAAAAATCATATGCTTCTATGAATGTTAAAAGTGATAGCAGTATGTGAAATACCTAGCAATTAAGAGCAATATATTTGGTAAGTATTTTGGTTCTTTTATACTTTGTTAACAGATAAGCTCTACTTCTAAAAATATATCCAAAGCAAAACAGCTGATTGAAAAAGCAAAGGCTATACGGCATAATAGACCAAAGGTCAATGAAGACTTACCAACTCCTGTGAGGCGC